TTGTTATTTTCCTAGCGGCGATAGTGACTGAGCTAGAGTCCAAAACGTGAATAGTGGGCATTAAATCTTCAAACCACCGTAGCTGCCGGGGTTGCCAGGTGTAAGCGATAAAAATAGTCAAATGTGATTTCAGGATGCGCCCTCCATCGACGGATGCCAATTTTCAAGTTCTAAAAGTATTCCTTTGACAGTTATAGTTTTTGGGGTAAATCTCAAAAACTACCCTAAAATCGGGTAATTTTTTTCCACCATATGAAAGATTCTATAGAGATACACAATCGCTCCATACATGCCGAATACCTGCGGGGTTGCCAAGTCGGTCAAAATCGAGGTTGAATTTCAAACGTTGTTTGCTCTCAGTGTTGCCAGTCGATCGTTCTATTTTTTCCATCGGGTAACTTGTAAAGTTAAAATTAAAATATTTGCATCGAAAAAAATTCAAAATTCGACAAAAAGTGTTTCCCCAAAAATCTCATAAAGTATCAAAAATTTTCAAGATTTTTTTTCACCTGGCAACACCTCAGCTACTTGCCTAAAAATTGTTTCCCCGGAAGTAGTCTGACAAATGTCGCCAAGTGCGTCAAAATCGGCTCGACGTGGTGACGATACCCAATTTTTCGGATAAAATGGATGCTGGTTTGGCCGCCATCTTGAATTTTGGAAATCCGGCTCCGTACCGATGTGGCCAACTCGATAGCGCATCCGATGCAGTTTTTACCATTTTCCTAGTGGCAATACCGACCGCGCTAGAGTCGACAAAGTAAAAAATGGGCAAAATTTTTCAAATCGCCGCTCCTACCAGGGTTGCCAGGTGACGACGATGAAAATGGTCAAATGTCATTTCGGGGAGTGCCCTCCGTCGAGGAAAAGCATTTTTGAAATTCCCAAACGGCTCCTTCTACTTTTCACCTTTTTGGGGTAAATCTTCGAAATTACCCTAAAATCGGGGAAAAATTTCACGTCATTCGAAAGAGCCAGCGGAGACTCACGACCAGTCCATACCAGGCAAAGAGCTCCGATGTTGCCATGTGTGCTAAAAGTGCGTTTGAATTTTTCGAAAAAGTGAAAAAATCACAAAATGGCCGCTGCCGGCGCCGCCATATTGATTTTCCCGAGTTTCATAATTTTCCCATAGTCACGACTATATTTGGCGCGACACATCATTCACAGATTTTCTCCGCTGGCCACCCAGGTTCCCAAACAATTCGGGTTATGAGGGCATGTCGAAAAAAATGTTTTCTACCGTGCAGCCCAGGGTTGTCAGCTCGCGGAAACGAAAACTACCAAATGTCATAGGGCTCCCCCGGCGCCACACCGCATCGAGTCTGTTTTCCGCGAAAAGTGCGTATTTCCAAATTTTACTTTTCTCCCAAAATCTCCTAAACTACCACGAAAATGGTAGAAATTAGTACTAATATGGAAAGAACCCACCGAGCCCCACGACCGTCCCATAGAACGCAAACCCGTCCACCGCCGCCATCTTGGAGAAAATCTCACTGGAAAATGGCGATTTTTCATTGCCGAAACAAAATGGCCGCCACCGCCGCCGCCATATTGACACGCGAATAAAAACTTCCCCTACGTTAAAATCGACTATATTTCCGAGTCGCCTGTGAAAAGATCCCCCCTCCGAACCCACAAAAAAAGAAATGACGATCGCCCGAACAGAGGTCGAAAAATGTCAATTTTCTAGGTAAAATATCTCGGCCGCCATTTTGTTTTTTGAATCAAACCTTTTTTCAGTGTCATTTTTTTAGCCAAATCTACGACCATTGTGAATATCGTAACCGTAGAGTGAATAATGTAGAAACTAAAAAAATTATCTCGCCGCCATTTTGTTTTTTCGCTGAACCCCAATGCCATTTCAACTCATTAAAAAAAAATATTGTCACTCTCCATACATGAAAACGTCATTGACCACCTCCTTCTACCCGAAAAAAGCATGGAGTGAGTCAGTCAGTCAGTCAGTGGTAATTAAGCTTTATATATTATAGATGTATAAGTATAGGGCATGTATAAGTTTAAAATTTACTCATCTCATTTCTTCCCTCTCTTTTTCGCACATACCTACTTATATCTTAGCATTCTCAGAAACGCTCCGTTCTATTACGTACATTTCTATCATTCAATAAAAAAAACAATCACTTCTATGTAAAATATATAATAAACTCTTATTCCTTTGTAATAAAAGCGAAAACATTTTGGTCCGAGTTGTAGATCGAAGGATTCGAGGGACTTCTTTCGTCGATTTTCAGTTTTTAAGCGACTTCAAAATCGAAAAGGAGTAGGTTATATATGTTCGATGGCGAGGTATGCTTTTTTAATAATGTTCAGCGATTTTTCGCCAATTGTTGACCGATTTTAAAACTATTTTTTTTTATTCGACAGCTCAATGGACCAAGGTGTTCTCATTTAAATTTTATCGAAATCCAATCAATAGTTTTCTCTGTATAACAAAATAAAATGTGCTTTTCATCAGATATCATCTAAATATTTTGATGGCATGTTTATGTCAGCCAAAAACTTAAAAAATAGAATCGACTTTAAACTACGAAAAGTGAAAAATAATACTTATTTCAGAAGCGATTTATTTACAAAAATATATATATGTTAAACTGAGAACATCCTTTTTTTAAGTCGGTTAAAAACAAAAGTATTTTGGGTAGTTTTAAAATCCGAAAGGAGGATTTTGTATGTTAAATAGGTATGTATATTTTTTATGTAAGTAGGTATGTTCATTGATTTATTCTTGAATTTTGAACAAACAAATTTAGTGTGAACTATCAAACTACCCGTTTCCCCGCAACTTAGTCTGCGTAAAATTATAGGTTATGTTCCCCGCGTATCATGTAGCTTCCCGTAGATCAAATAATTTTATAACCGGTCCAATAGTTTCGGAGCCTTTTCAATTCAAACAAACAAGCATTCAAATATTTTCTCTTTGTACTAAGAGTAAATATAGATTATTAAAAAAAAAAATGGATCAAATAAACAAAATCTCCTTTCGTACGACTTTCACTTTTCTTAGGACTTTTTGTCTCGTGAAATGTAAAAAATCTCAAGTTATTTCAGTTATAGTCAGTTGAGATATTGTACGTTTCTCTATTCTGAAACCTGCCATTTCATTATGTTGACATATTACTATATTTATAGATATTTATTATTTTTAGTGTTACGTATTACGTATAAAAACCTATAAATATCACAAAAAAACATGGAAGTAAAAACTTTTTTTCAAAAATAGAACTGACGGATATTGAGGACTGGCGGAGGTTCTCTGTAGGTTATTATAAATTAAGTAATAACCGCCCAACTTCAATATCAGTTTCTTGAATAAGACGATTTTAAGATAAGTATTCTTATCACTTTCCAAAAGCTTGAATTTAGTTCTGTTTTAAAAAAAAGTTTTTATTGGTTTACTATAACTACAAGTTTATGCTTAATTTTTCTAGATTATGGAACAAAATAACTCTGTATTATACATTATACTCTGTATTATATCTTGTTTGAATATAGAATTGCGTTTAGTTTTAAATTAACCTACAAGAATCACGAACATAACTGCAATAACAAAACAAGCTCTATAAAATGGCGGGTAGAATAAAAAAAATAACTTTAAAAGTTCTCGAATTTCTTTCGTCCATTTTATAGAACACGTGATTATAAACGCAGCTATTTAGTCCAAATATCTGCAATTTATATATTGATGGAGTAAAAGTATCTACTTTAAATCTGTAAGTTATTAATCTTATTACATGGAAAATAATTAGTAGAAGGACAGGCTTTTTAAGAAATATTAGCATAAAAAATTATTATATTAGACGATTGTGGTAGGCCACACCTTGTGCGAAAAGTAGAAATATAGCCGTAATTTTTATCTAAATGGACTATTCCCGTCAACTAATACTATTTAGTTGACGGGAATGATTTCATTTTTATTTTAAATTAATTGTTTTTCAGCGACTTCGCCCGTGAATATTATAGCCATCCACGTATGATGTAGGTCCCATATTGAGAAATAATTTTTGAAATTGGTCCAGCAGGAGTCTATTCACTGCAAAAAAAAAAAACAATTAAATTTTTCATCTATTATTGCTATTGGTATAGATAAAGATATCTAATTGTATTTTATCTTGTGAGGGGATGGTTTCATAATGTCGGTACTTCGAAAAAGCTGAAAGTTCTATTTTTAAGTGTGAAAAGATGTCGTCAAATTTATGAATAATTGCACTTGGAAAACCCACCTACTCAAAAATTCAAAATATTTATATATATTATCTTGAATTCTGAATTCGGGTATTTTAAATTATGTAACATCCAAATTGAAAAATTAATGCATTCGGTGTACTATTGCAAAGATTGAATGATTTGGCCACTTCTTTCGGTTATTGGATGAGTGACAGCAAATGAGTTTGTAAATGTTTAGGAAGGCTAATAACGTCCTGAGGGCCTGCTTTGTATATCGAAACGTATGAAAATTCGGAAAATTTTCAATCGTTCCTTATATCTGTGAAGATTATCTTTGAAACAGAGGCAGTTTCAGGAAGAAAAATGGGTTTCGTTAGAATTATATCGTCGTTTCGAATATACCTAGCCATTAGTTCTGTTACAAAGAAAATATCCGGTAATTTCTAAAAATATAATTTTATTTTGAAGTTTTATATGTGATTATGTAGAGTGAAATAGATATGTTAACGTACTAAATGTACATTAGTTATTCAAAGTGTCCACCCTTAGTTTTAACGCACGCTTTTAAACGGTCGGGCCATTCATCGATGGATTTACGAACGGTTTCCATTGGAAACTTGGCCACTGCTGCCTCCAAAGATTTCTTGAGCGATTCAATATTTGGGTGACGCTTAGATAAGGCTATGTCCTCTAGCACATACCATAATTTATAGCCCAAAGGTTTTAAGTACGGACTAGCCGAAGGCCAATCATCCGACAAACACAAGCTCGATGTGGAATTTGCTAAATATCGTCATTTTACAGTTAACAGAATGGCGTTTGTCCCAGTGCTGGTTTTATCGGCATTGGTACTGTCATGCTCCGGACAGGCGATAGACGACTACGATTCACTTGATCTGGAGTGTGCCCGCGAGAACATGTACCACTGCAACGACGGAGCGTGTGTTCCCTTCTCAAAGTACTGTGACGGCGAAATAGACTGTCCCGACGGATCCGACGAGAATTTGTGTGGTAAGTTAACCTTTTTTGTCATAGGGGGAATGCTTTAAGGACTGTCCATTCACACGGACCCGCCTGAAGGCTAGACAAAACGTCGTCACATACCCACTAAGCCCCCTCCGATGAATCGTCACTTTTAGGGCAAGGACTTGAGATCCATAAGGGAATGCTCCACACTCAGCCCCTGAGTGGGAAACCTTTTTGCTCACTTACTACGTCTTACTACGACGACTTCTAATAGGATTTATATCAAAAAAGTATGGGTTGCTTTTAACAAAACTTGTTACTAACATATTGATTTGATAAATGCTATTATTTTTGTTAAAGCTGATGAGTTTCTTGCTCATTTTTCTTATTAACCAAAAGACATCCAGAACAAAAAAGAGGCAAGTAAAAAAAGTACGTACTTCGAAAGTACTTTTAATAGGTAATTTTATTTCTTTGAAATAAGTAAAAGAAATTAACGGTTGGACAAAAAATCACAGTTGAAAAAATAGCTTACACAAATAGGTAAATTATGTCGAACATTATCATCATTTGCTGTCGTCGGGTAGCGTACTCTGAGTTTCTTACGGCTGGTTTCTGTTCAAAATTTTCTTCAAAATTTTATTTAAAAAAATCAGTAACGAAAACTTGTTAAGTGTTAGAGTCAGGTGTTAGAGTTTCATTCTCTAAAGTCTCACCCGCTATAACCCCACGCGGCTGTAGGCAAAAGCTTTTGATGGCCGTATCACAGGATTTTTATTTGACATGAAATTCCCGTGTCACCCCTACACGTCACACTTACTCATATATCTCATTGATTCTGTCTAGTCAAGCGCAAGTCAGGAACGACTCAATGCTCCAGATTCGAGCACTATCTATGTAAGGATCAAAACAAGTGTATACCTTTCGAGTGGATGTGCAACAACGTCACAGAATGTGACGACGGCAGCGACGAGGAAGACTGCACTATAATGCCAGAGCCGGACAAAAATGTAAGTAACGGATATCCATCTTTATAGGCTTCCATACCCATACCTTCGCCTACCTTCCCATGTTTCCATATAAATATCCATACCCATAGGATATCTCACTCTCGACCAGAGAAAAGTGACGTTTGGTGTAGTAAAACAGCAGGTTTCTGAATTGATAAAAACGTACATAATCTCAACTGATTACTCTCAATAACTTAAGTTTTTTACGTTTCTAAAGTCTTAGTTTTATCAAACTGCTATCAGTTGATATTTATAAAAACTAAAAGCAGAAACGAAAACCTGTTTGAGTATATTTCAAGTGTAGTTTGAGACGTTGCTAATTTTAAATTCACAATTCACAAACCGTGTGAAAGCGTATTTCGAGTTTTTCATGCTACGCGTGTTATGAATGGGGCGTACCCAGGAAAAGTTAGTCTTATAAAACCTCCTAACGCATCATTGCTAACCCAGCGTTACGTATTTTTTTTTATAGTCAATGTCACTTTTCGCCGGTGTGCCCATAGAAAATCTTAGATCCTAAAAAAGAAAAGGGACATTTGGTGTAGACAGTGATTCTCGTGTATATCATGCTACACTTACAGATGTTTCTCATGAAACGTAGCGGATAGTCGAAATTTTGCACAGATGATGATATAGGTATTTTTGTTTTCGCTATTGCGACAAAAACTAAAAACTGAATAAAATAAATATTTGATATACTATACGGTGATACGGTACCATACAACAAACGTGATTTATTGCGTATTTTTTTACAGATAATGGTACGGAATCCTTAATGAGCGAGTCAGACTCGCATGTGGCCGGTTTTTATCCGTTTTATGGACCATCCAATTGTTACGAAGAGACCGCATTTCGTTTAATGCACGTAGTTTCTTTAAGGCACTCTTGTATGTACTACTTTCGCCTACGTTCCCATACAAATATGCAATAAATAAGCAGTGAGAGCTTTTAAAGAGGCGGTCGTTTGATTTTGATTATATTATTTATATTTTATCAAGCCAATTATTGAAATTTATGTTTCTGTTGTAATAAACAATCGATCATAGGTTTATTTTCATAAAACTATTTTTATTTGGCAAGTATTAGCATAGTCGTAGAATTAAATTGGTTTAAAAAGTGGTAATTTCGTACAATCTTGCCTTAATGCGTGCGCTTGTATATAAGGATATCACCCAGTTGTAAAGATTAAATACTTTAATACCGGGTATTAGACGCGATTTTACACTGACCTGCGCCGACCTATATAAGTATTTAATAATGCAGCGCGATAGTTTAAAAGTGAAGACCATTAAGATTGTCATTAGTTTAAAGCGACATTTCCGATTCAAATTTTCATTAGAGCTTAAAGTCGTAATTAAACCTTAAAAATCGTTTATGCAATTGAGAGGTGTCTTGATTGTTCAAGACCCGCAAAGTAAGATCGCAAAAACTCGCAAAGTTAATATGTAGTTTGATTAAATAAAATTAAGAAATAACAAATATTTGTATTTACAAAATATTCCATACGTACATAAAATGGTTTCTTAAAAAAATTTGATCATTACCCAATACATTAATAAACGCTTAATATGTATATTATTAAAAATAATAAAGTGGGTAAGGATATTTTTTTTTTTATGGTTCGCAACAATAAAAATAGAGTGGTTATTAAATATGATTATAACAAGAAAAAAATAAGTAGAGCTTAAAGACTTAGTCGGTCTACTATTCCGGAAGTTTCTCAAAGGCTTGTCATATGATTAGTGACCAAAAACATATTATCTATAATTAATGCCCACCCAACCATATTGGGCCTGTGTAAAGGGTTATAGCCCGGTCTTCCTAGACGATTCTAACCATAGGAGTAGTCTGCGCTCCAGCAGTTTGGAGGCTTATTATAATGAAAAAAAAAACACTTATCAATTCTCTCAGGCTACGTGTAAAGGTTTCGCGTGTGATGGCGGCCGCTGCATATCTAACTTATGGATCTGCGATGGACGCTACGATTGTGATGATAGATCCGATGAGCATTCCGAGGATTTGTGCCGTGAGTTTTTTATGTGTTTTACATAAATATTATTTCAGTCTTTATACCGTTACCTCGTTAGTAATGTAATACTGGATCTGCCCTGCGATTCTGTAAAAATCCAAACCCGAAATCGAATTCACTCAGGTGTCCGAATTCACTTCAAAAAGCGGCATCCACTCAATCTTGAATTGGTAATAATATTTCGTGGCATAAGTGAAGTGAGTTTCGAAATGAAATAGGAATAGAATATTTGTTGAAAATAATTTCGTTTTGTATATTTATACAAAAATGTAATCAATAGAATTTCTTCACTAACAACTTGAATTTGGACTCATGAGTGAATTGGAATTTGGGTCTGGATTTTTAAAGAATCGCAGGGCAGTTACGATATTTTGTTAAAAATAACCTTGAATTTCACGTAGACACAGCAAAGAATGAAATTAAACCTGTTATATTTTCGGTAGGATTTATTAGATGGTATGTAGGACAAAGGGCAGTGGGTCATCGGACATGTCCGTTAAACTTGTCATATCTTCTATACATAAGTATACATTCATATAGTATATACCTAACGAAGTTGATTCCTGCTGTCTGTGCGCTGGGATCTTTTAAAGTACACAATGGATTTTTTGCAATTTTTGGCAATATACATAGACGTTTAAGAGGAAGATTTGTATGTATAATACAGGATAAAACGTACTAAATAAAACGGGGTTGCCACAGGACGTGGAAATCGAGTGTCCTAAACTATTTACCAATCTGACTTACATTACATTTATTTCTTTTGTACTTTCCTATTTTCCTGAGTACAAAAAAGTATTTACTGCACATCTTGCACCAGATTACTCTACCTTATATTATTTATTGTCTATACTATTGTTACAGGTAAAACTCTCTTCCCGTTTCCTATTCATGATGTCTCCACATGCACAGAGATACCAAACTCAGGCGATCGCAACTATCGCTGTATAGATTCCTCGTTCTGTTTACCAAAGTCTATGATGTGTAACGGTATAGCAGACTGTCGTGATGGCAGCGACGAAGGCCCGTTCTGTGATAAATGTGAGCTTGTTTTTGTTTATAATATTGAGTCCACTTTTGATTTTAATATAGCATGTTAGCACAAATGACATCTGCCCAGCATCTTCTCTCTTTCGCTGAAGTACACCTGCAACTTTACCTCATAACTGAAAAATAGATCTGTCAGAATGGACTCTGCATGAAAATTGTCGGAAGATTGTCAGATAGTATAATCTGTCAGATCTATTGTAGAATCTACTGTAAAATATAATCAACTGTTAGATCATTCAGTCTATTACGGTGAAAGTGAATGATGAAAAGCTCTTTTTGGGCAAGCTCGTTCCACCGTAGATTTAAACCGCGCCACCAGACTCTCGCAAGTTTACTCCGCGGGTCTAAGCGGCAACTTGTTGAAGTTCACAAATTTATCATTGGATTTAGATTTAATGCTCGTAACATTGGTCGATGACATCCGCGTTCGGCGTACGGGAGTTTTCTGTTCCTCGCGTTCATTGGCCGGGCATTGTTTAATCGACCAATGCCATAACATTAAGTTAGGTTGAGGATTTAAAGACATTTAGTTTCCCTAAAGTTTTTAGTTAACCAATGCGACCATCCGAACCGGCAAAAGGGTAGACTGACTCGCAAGTGGCTGTCGTCAATGTATGAATTCCTGAAACAGCTGAAAATTGTTAGCACAGGAATAACAGGAACATTTTCCAGTTGTAACAGGAGTTACTTCGTACATATTAAATTTGTGTTATTGGCTTGTACACACAATTAAACGTATTATAAACTCTACTCTTAAAACATTAAGTCTTACAATCACATGGGGAAATTTGACAGATTGATATAACCTTGTGAAAATCTGCCTATCGTCTTATTTGTAGGGACAACAATGTGCACAAACGGTACCCACCCATGTAAAGGCAACGACACAAGATGCGAACCGGATCGCTTCGGTCCCGCCTGTATCTGCGCCTCAGCACCAGCCTTCAAGACTTACAACTACGCGACTAACGCGTGCGAGGACATAGACGAGTGCGCGCGGGCGAGGCCGCAGTGCTCCCACACGTGCGAGAACGTCGACGGCAACTTTATGTGTAAATGTGATGAAGGATTCGATCATAACGCTTATGAAAACTTGTGCTTTGCCAAAGGTAAGGTTTTAATACAGGTGTTATTTTGCGGAAGTCCATTGCTATAACTGGGAAACTATGATATATCTAGCAACTTCCACACCCAGTCAGTATCCGCAAGACCTGCTGTGTACCGCTCGTACACAACTGACATCTACAAATGGAAAAAATCTAGCAAAATCACCACTCCATACGTGTTTTGGCTCTCCACGAAGTATCCTCGAGAGTTGTTAGATCATACAGTACCAACTATCGATTGGTTTTTTATTTCTTATTTCTTCTAATGTTGATGTTGACATACCTGTAGATTTATTTATTTGATCATAAATTTTTAATTACATTAGGTTTTAGTAAGGTTTCTTACAACATCTAAACAATCTTAAAAAGTTTGCCAGTGAGATTCTATTTACTCCATCAGTCAGATAATAGAAAAATATTAAATACGTTTTTTTTTACTTCAATTTAAACAAGAAATGGCTTAGATAATAAGCATTAAAGCCGAGTGGTAGGTGGAGTGGTAGTGTGACGTCATGTCACATTTTAAGTCAATGTATTGCCATAATTAATTGACTACTCAAAAAATGAAAAAACGTGTTTAATATTTTTCAATTGTCTACCTGACTAAAAAAAAAACAATCAGATCTCAATTTGGGTAACTATGATCAGAATCAGGGTCAATTGAATCAAACTCTTCTTCTTTCGGCCCTGATATTTTTTTAATCGACGTGTGTTCCCTTCGATTCTTCACTATAGCCTATAATAATAATATAATACGCTTTAATTTCAACATTCAATCTCGTATTTTTTCAACAACATTCAGATACAACAATTCCAAGTTTTCATGAAAATGTCTATTTAGAGTTAGATTCAGCTTTCTTTGTATCTAGTGTCACGGTATTTTAATATTTGTCTGTATTCAGTCATAAAGGTATTATATAGCTATATTCTTCCTACGGGAATTTCCGAAAATCGAGATATAAATTGCGCCTGCTTTGTGTATGAAGGGTTTTTCGCTGAAAAATATTACAGCCAGCCAAGCTCTGCCTGAAACGTTCCCATATAGTGATATTATATCAGAAAAAAAAAATATTTCCATATGTTAGAAATAAATATGTTGCTCAATATAAATGTGTTTGTAGGACCTGAAGCATTATTGTTCTACTCCACGAGCTCAGAAATAAGTTACGTGAAAGTAAAGAGCAAGCAGGATGTTGTCCTTATGACGAACATGAAACAGGCAAGTGCAAGAACACCCACAGTTTTCAAACCTAGACTTGTCATTGAAATTGCAGTGTGTTATTCAAAAGCAAATACTTAATTCCAAAAATCACAAAATTATTGTTATTCGCGTTACAATTAATAACAATTAAGGGTTTTGAAAAAGTGAAGCAGAGCTTAAGCGTTAATATTGGATATTTGACCAGGCACATGGAGTATCGTTCGACGGCACTCATCTGTACTGGGTGGAGACCCAACAGGGGCACCAGGCCATCGTCCGAGCAAATCTGAACGATATAAAGGGAACTAAGCAGGTTTGTTGTTTTATTAAATCTGGCGTTACCTTAAAGGAGTCAGTGTCATTCAGTCACATTTACATTCAGCCACATTGCAGTATGGTAATAACTGTAAAACATGGTAAAACTATATTGTAATCTTTCTCTCTTATTAATAGTTCAAATACTCGGACGGCTTTAAAAAAAATAGTTTAAGGAACTGGTTCGTGAATATTATCTAAAAAAATGATTTGATTCTATAAAATCTGCTTTATCTTTATAAACTATTATACATACATATAGATTTTCCTATTATACAATAACGAGAAGAATTGATAATTTTTAAAGATTATTTTGTACTTTATTTTTTTATAGAGAAAATGTAATAAAAAAATTCTGTTTGAAAAATTGTGCCATCGAAAAAACAATAACTAAGTGATCCCAATGTATGTGGTGTCTAATATTTATGTACATCGTGGTTAGGTGTTAGTGAGCTTGGGCCTGGAGGACCCCGGGGACGTGGTGTTAGACTGGGTGGGCGGGCACATATACTTCAGCGACGTGCACCGCGGCACAATCTCCGTCTGCAAAACTGACGGCTCCATCTGCTCCACCCTCAGGACTAAGACCAAGCGGCCGAGATTCGTTACCCTCTCAAACAAACACGGGTAAATCACGAACACATCTATGTGCAATATTCTACACAGCCCTGCGATTCTGTAAAAATTCAAACCAGAATTCGAATTCATTCAGGTGTCCGAATTCACTACAAAGAGCGACATTAACGCAATCTTGAATTAGTAATAACGTTTTGTAGCATAAGTGAAGTGAGTTTCGAAGTGAAGTGAATGACATAGGAATAGCATATCTGAGACACGTATAATCAATCAATTTTGTTTTGTATTTTTATACAATAAATGGAGTCTATAGATTTTTTACTTTATAACGTGAATTCGGACACATGAGTGAATTCGAATTCGGGTTTGGATTTTTACAAAATCACAGGGCTGAAACTATTATAAAAAAGAATATAAGTGATTTCAAAGAAAGTAAAAAAAGAAAAACAATACTTATCTATAATGTGGTATATCGTGTGGGATAGGATCATCTATAATGATACACACTAATAGGAACAATTGGCGATGATGAATCACTACGCAGACCAAGTGCGGATTGATGAGTCTTGACAAATGCCGACGGGGCCAACGGTGTAACAAGCTTCCGAAGCATCTAGGAGCTCAAAATAATATATTTTTTATCGCCCATCCTATGACTAGCCATTGCTTAAGTTCTTACTTACTTACTTCTTTTGCCCTTCCCGAAACAACTACAAGATGCAGTCAATTTCAGCAGCTTAATCGATCGATTACAGAGTTTGCGATAGTTGATTAACATTAGAAATTCACTATTCACTGCATCATCGACCTTTCCAATCTAGACCTAGAAAAAAAATGGATAGCAGTTCTTTTTCTAAAATAAGATTGACCATTCAAAATTCGAGATTCACCTTTATTTCCGCCGATTATTGACCGATTTTCAAAATTATTTTTATTCGACCGCTTAATGGACCGAGTTGTGACCATTTAAATTTTATCGAAATCAAATGAGTATTTTTCTTTTTATAACAAAACAAAATACGCTGTTCACCATATACCACCTAAATATGTAATGTACCTCATGTATCTTAGCTAAAAAACAAAAGTATTTTGAATTCATTCAAAATCCGAAAGGAGGATTTTCTATGTTCAAGGAGTATGTAAATTTTATGAAAGTAGGTATGTCAATTGATTTCTTCTTGTATTGTGAACCAATTTTATCAATCCAGCTGTTTCTCCGCGACTTCGCTAGCGTACATTATAGCCTATGTCTGTGCCTATATAGCCAATACAAACAAACAAGCAAATAAATTTTTCTTCTTTGTGAGTATAAAATTAATAGAAAAGATTGTGTTAAGCAAATAAACAAAACCTTATTTTCTAAGATTTTTACCATTTTGAATATTTTTATTCATATAGATTTATATTTCATATAGATATCGCAGGCAACTGCGAAAAACGCCGTTACACCTACAAATATTTCGCATATGTTTCGCTTTCGCAAGTGAATGCGTCGGTGTACTTACGGAGTTACCGAGAAAACCACAGCGCTCTGGTATTTGAAAGGGATATCCGGATACACGCCTCTTCTTCTAGATGGCCTAACTTAACATATTTTCGCGATATTCAGGAAAATGTTTTGGGCTGACTGGCATCAAGGTCCAGTGATAATGTGGGCTAACATGGACGGGTCGCAGCCTGCCGTCTTGGTGGACAGCCTCGTGGGTTACGCCACCGGCCTGGCGATGGACTCGCCTAACGGACGCCTGTACTACGTCGATCACACCGTCAAGGTCATCAAGATAGACGACATGCAATTTTACGTGAGTCCTTGATAGGCTTTTACCTAGATATTGGTTCATTTGCTAGTGTTTTGTTTCCACTTTAGTTATTGCGTTTTGAGATTTACCACATTGCCACCTTAAAGCAAAAAGCGGTATGTTCAAAATAATTTCTATCAAATTGTATAGCTTAAAACATTCTCTAACCGATTTAATAGAAATCGAAAAACGGTTTCTTTTTGAAAATACCATTTTTGCATATAGTGGTAGTTTACACCAGAGTCCATCTTTTGTTTCATTGTCATTTTATCTCTTTTCATATATGGTTAGTGGTTTTATTTATGGTTTCTGACGTTATTTACCGCAAATACATAATAAATGGTATAGTTTAGCTTATCCATGGTCTTATCTATTATCTGTATTTATTTTCCTCCCTCCTCCATCCAGCACTAGCATTTTTGCCTCGTATTCGATCTAACATAACATGCTTCTGTTAACTTTAGCATAGATGAACCTTCATCTGATCAACCTTCTTTTTTATGTCTCAATTACGGATGCAGATTTCGTTGCATCTAAATAACAGAAAAAATCTTTAGAGATTGTCTTTCTCTTTATCGTAAGTCTTTTAAACTTTATAGTTTGGTAATATTAATCAATATTCCATACCAAGTTATAAATATTACAGTGAAATTTTGTCTTGTCGCAGTCACTTTTCGATGAGCAATATCACCACCCGTACTCGATCGCGGTATTCGAGAACACTGTATACTGGAGCGACTGGACCTCTAACTCTATTCAGACGACGGACAAACTTCATAGCACCGCTCGGAAGAGGAATGTACTAGTAAAGAAAGACACACCAATTTATGGTTAGTTCTTAACCAGGGCAGCGTTTTCCAATCTGTTTCAGGCCGTGAAGTTTTAGGAAATTAAACATGATTTCAATGTAAAAATGAAAGTAACAAAAGCTCTTAATTTAGATATAGTTATTTTACAAAATCTATAACAGACAGTAGATTAAAGAAAGGGTGCCTGCTTGTATTATTTGCAACGATGTTAATAATATTTGTGTATATTTTACTATTGAGATGTAATACTTATGGTAACGACGAGACTTTAATTAAATTTCTTGACTACAAAAAATAATCTCCCCCCCCTTTCTGAGTTCAGATGAAACAGCGCACGAGATATAGCGAATGGGAATTTGAATAGTACAACTTCGATATAATGCTATGTGTACTGACTGCATTTTAACTATAGAGCTGCTAGTTACTATATTAGATAGAGTATGAAAGATAAATAGCTGCCTGTAATATAACTCAGTAATATTATATACGGAAGATCACTATTAAATTTTACAGACTTTTGAATTGTTAACGAGGTGAGTAGAGCGAGACAGATGTTTACCGTGGACTGTTCTCTTTTTTTTATCTTGTAAACTCTAGATGGCTAGCTCAAGTGCATACTTATTATGTATAGTTTTAACACGATCATAAGCTTTAACATAAAAATATATTTATTTATTTAATTCCAGGAATGCATATCTACCATCCGCTGATATACAAACCAATACATAATCCTTGCGAGAATCATGTATGTTCACATCTCTGCCTCATCTCTTCGAACGTGACCAGCGTGTGTGCATGTCCTGACGGCATGGAACTAGTCAATGGGACCAAATGTCAACGTGAGTCAATACAATGTTCTAACAGCCATGGCGGGCCCTTCCATATCGGCAAACTAGCCAACTGCCTAGGCACTCGTATTTGGCGGGCGGCACAACAAAACTTTGAAAAGAGATAAATTTTATTGTTATTTGGACATGAATGCATGTCCGATATTTAAAATTATGAAATTCTCAAACCAGCAGTACCTAAGTGTGGCAATTTTGATAAAAACATGGCGACACAGGCCTACTGCGTAACTGTATTGGCAATTCACTTGATATTGGATTCAATCAAATTGCACTCGACAATTAATACTGTATTGAACGTTGGGTGTATTTTGATTAAATATAATGTACATCAAATCGAAGCCAATGTAGCGCAATAGGTCTGATATGTAACTTTAATGACATAGGCTTCAATCAAATCACTCCACTCTCAACAAAATTAGTTTCCGCGTAAGGGTGTCTAATTGTAAATTGATATCGACCTGTGGAGCGAATGATCCACAGTTTACCTGGAGGGCTACTACATAACTACATCGTTTATGATTTTATTTGCATCGGATTCAACTTTTATTAAAGTAACTCCAATGGAAAGGGCAGCTGTCGGAGCTTCATCCCAAAAGTATAATGATGCCTTTAAGCTCTAATGAATGTCAAATTTGTATCGGTAATATCGCTTTAAATAAATGACAATTTTAATGCATTTTTGTAAAATTGGCTGTTAGTCGGTAAAACAGTTTCATCAACGCCATCTCGTAGTTTTAAAAAACTGTTGGATGGGTGAAATAAGGGTGTGCTTGACTTGATACCTATGGCTCTATATTATAGTCGATTGGCTGTTTCATTTTTATTTTTGCTTATTTGACTGGGCAATACGTAGATAGAGGCTACGACAACTGCCTTTTTTACCGCTTTACTACTTTAGACCGACATCCTCATAATATTATATGTCGAGTTAACTGGACTAAATAAATAAAAATATGACTTGGAACAGGTATGGAGCATTACAACCCCATCTTTATAGTGATCGGAGGAGGTTCATATTTCACACACATTGAGATGAACGTGTTAGGCAACCCGGAGGCGCATGCCATCCATTTCGATATCGGACGGGTACAAGCAATGGCATATGACAGCAAGAGAGGTGAGGAAATCAGAAGTGAAAACGGTTATAAAAAAGAACAATTCAGAAATAAATACATTCGATTAAATACATATTAGCCGAGCAACCATCAATAACAATTATTATTAAAACAAATAAACAGTAAAAGTTCGCACAGGCAATGTCTCAGTACGCAATAAAGACATTACCTGTGTTGCCCCATTGCCCCCACCACTCATGTCATTTCAATGTAAACAATCTTGTTTAATTGCGATAAAGATTGTAAATATCGTATTAAAAAAAAAGAAAAAACGAGCAAGCATAAAATTATTATAAACACATATAAATTTATTAATATATAAATTTTATTATCACTGATGTGAGCAGATTAATAAAAGAGGGAAAACGTGAATAGCCTGAGTGACAAATCTATGCCATATTAATATTTATCTTCAAGTGCAAGTTCTTAAAGTTGTATTGTTCATGTTACGTCACTAGTTGAGCTACTTATATCCAGTGCCGGATTAAGCCAGAGCAGGGCCTGTACCAATTTTTTTAAGCTTTTCAAAAAATATGAGCACTCTTCCAGTCACCATATAATATCTTTCGTGGCAACAATGATGAATAATCGGAATTACTAGCTAACTTTGCAAACGAAACAGAAAAGTCGTCCTTTGCTTTCCGAATAGCACCACTCAACTAATCTGTGACTTGAGTTTTATTTGTCAGTTTATGTTTATGCCTTGTTTATTCTTAAAAATATGAGTTTACGGAGAAGCATAGCTTATTTTATTTCTTGCGTTTTTTAACACTGACTTGAAAAAAATTTTTTTTTGTCAGACCATAGCGAGGTTCCCATTTGCGCGGGGCCCTCAAACTTTTGCTACGTGGCTAATCCGGCATTGCTTATATCTATTATAAACTAGCTGACCCGACAGACTTCGTCCTGTCAAAAAGATTTGTAATGTGGCAGTTTTTTTGCCTACGTATTTAAAAAAATTCTCCTGAACAGAACCGTCACCCTGGTGATAGGGCGTTGTGAATAAAAAATAATTAAATAAAACATATATAAGGATTTAAAAGTAAGTAATCGCTTTATTGTTAATCATGTGAATCATAATTATTATTGCAATGTATTAATAGTAATAGTATTAAATATAGAAAAAAGAGATTTTTATGATCATAAAAACACATTACACACAACAGCATTATAAAAGTAAACTATTCGAATTAAAAAAATATATAAACATTCTCAAGGAAAAATGCTGGAAGAATCCATCTACCTGTACCCCGGAATGGGACTCGAACCCATTCGCGATCCAGGGACTGCTCTAACCAATGAGCTATCTAGGACCCAACAGCTTTGCTACTACAGAGCGTATTTTCATCAATGTTCCGGCAATACATGTAATGACGTGGAAACTGATGCATTTTATCTCGCGTGCCGAAACTAATACAAAAGAAACGCGAGTTTCGGAACGCGACATTAAACTCCTCCAACTATGTATTCTGTGCTCCAACGCACACACGCACATTGTTTTGATAGATATGATCTTTGACGTTAGGAACACACCTACATTGCTTAGACAACAGTGAGTGCTTGTAATTTAATATGAACTTTATACCATAGCAATAAAGCTCAAATTGACTACGTTTTAGTTACAAATCATTTGTATGGGAAAAAGAAAAGGGCTATTTTTAGGGTTTTTCCAGCAATAATTCTAATTTTTCTCGCCGTAAAAACCATCCTTGAACTTCAACGAACATTTTAAAAAAAGATTTGGCCAAATTGGTCGAGGCGTTGTTGAGTTATGCGCTTACCAACACATTTTGCGATTCATCCTATTAATATTATAAAGGCGAAAGTTTGTAAGTATGGATGTATGGATGTTTGTTACTCTTTCACGAAAAAACTACTGGACGGATTTGGATAAAACTTTACAGCAATATAGGTTATACATCAGAATAACACATAGGGTACTTTTTACTGGGAAAACTTCTCACTCCCACGGGATACCGACTTCCACGCGGACGAAGTCGCGGGCGTCCACTAGTTTTTATATATATAGATTAAGGCATTTTATCAGATCTTTGTTTTCAGATACACTATATGTTTATGATGGACAGAGAAAAATAATAAACTATATAAACATGACAGAATTCAAGACTGGCGTGACAAATTTGTTCTTATACCGCGGTCTGGATGATGTCGTCGAAATGGATTACGGTAAGTAGTAGACGAGATGAATGATGTAATTGAAATAATATCAATGAAGTGAATAAGATAGGATTAGTAGATTAGTGTGACGGACGGAATGAGTGAAATTTATGAGATTAAGAGATAAGGGATGCTCTTTGTCCCTTATCTTTTTTCTATTATGTTTTATTGAAACGTATGTAATGAGTGGGATAAAAGAATTGAGCAAGTTGTGTAAATCGAGTGAGATGAACGAAAAGTGCGAGGCGTAGGAGTTAAGTTTGATGAATTAATCTTATTATTTATATAACATAAGGTAAACTAAAATAAATGTCAGACAATATCACATACATTGCTCAGATGTCATGATAATTATCTAAAGTCCCTGTATTATGGAGTATCTCAGATAACGAAGGAATCACAACACCCGGACTCGAGACAAAAGTCCATGTTCTACATTGACCCCAGCGGGAATTGAACCTCAGACTTCAGAGATGGCGACACCTTGGCACCGGCGTGCGAATGACTACGGAGGTAGATGTAGGAAATTAAACAGCATTTTATAGCATGAATGTTTTGTGTGATATACAGATGATGCAACGGATTCCCTTTACATATTGGACCAGGGTCGAAATGCTATTGACGTAGTGTCATTGAGGACTCACAAACGGGCTCTGATACACCGCCTGGAGAGCCACGAGGTGCCTCTCAGCTTTTGTGTTATGTCAGAATATGGGTAAGTGGTATAATAATCTATATAATATAAAAATGAATCGCAAAATGTGTTGGTAAGCGCATAACTCAACAACGCCTCGACCAATTTGGCCAAATCTTTTTTTAAAATGTTCGTTGAAGTTCAAGGATGGTTTTTACGGCGAGAAAAATAGAATTATTGCTGGAAAAACCCTAAAAATAGCCCTTTTCTTTTTCCCATACAAATGATTTGTAACTAAAACGTAGTCAATTTGAGCTTTATTGCTATGGTATAAAGTTCATATTAAATTACAAGCACTCACTGTTGTCTAAGCAATGTAGGCTTTTTGACAGGACGAAGTCTGTCGGGTCAGCTAGTATTAAATAATATTAGTGACTCGGTGGCGCTTATCCTCTGATAAGCGCTGCGGCCCGCGATCGTTGTTGTTAAGCAACTTTCGCAAGGGTCGGTCACGGGATGGGTGACCAAAAAATTATTATCTCGAGCTACTTCGTGCTTCGGAAGGCACGCTAAGCCATTGGTCCCGGCTGTGTTTGTTGTCGTTAATACCCTCCAATCCGCATTTGGCCAGCGTGAAGGGTCATGGCCCATCCTCTTTAATCATCCATAATGAAGGCCTGAGCCCCTGCAGTGGGGACGTAAAAAGGGCAGATGATGATGACTGCACTTTCTAGTATTTAAATTAACTGTATATAAAAATAAAATTTAACCAGTCACTTGCTGGAGTCCTAAAACTCAATCTAGGAATCTCCCAAATCCCTTCGAGACTTTGCGTACTTGTTTAAGTGATTTGATTAGATAGTTTTAAGGTCGGTGCAAATGATGGAAAATCCGTCAAGTGTTTTACGGAAATACGATTTTTCGCGACCGACAATTACCCGTGCATCAGAAATGTACTGACCATATTTCACATAGCTTAATATCTTTGGTACTTGCTCAACGAGTTTCTTCCGTGCTTGTTATAAACATACAATATCTATAGAGTTTCTACTTCGGATGAGATCCCAAATAACTTACAGCTCCAAGGGATTTCACGAGAAAGTTTGCTATTACGCTGGCGCGAATGCAAGTGGATGCGATAATTTCTTAACATTCCACCTCGAAAAGCTTCCACATTCAACAATATTTATGTATTATCTACGAGCGACTTCGGCGACCCTTCGAAATATAAGTAGTAGGAAAAAGTTCCTTTGGTTAACATAAGTATGTTGTTGAAGCTTTTCCTAGATCTGCTGTCTTCTAAAAAACTTCCGCTTCCTTCTTATGCTACTTACAAGCAGGACTCCGTGATCCTTTGAATACCTTTCAGTGGAAATTGTCGTTTGCATACACTAGAAACCTCAGTTTTGAATGGCTACCTCCGAAGAAACTCACATATGTACCTGTAAGCAGGCTTTTGCGATTACACAAGTAGCCCTTAATGCATTAATACTACTACATTACCCTCCATCATGGCCATGGCCCATCCTCCTAATAAGGAAGGCCTGAGCCCCTGAAATGGAGACGTAAAAGGGCCGATGATGATGATGAATGCATTAATACCACCTCTAAAAACCAACATTCGTCTATCCCGGTTAATTTGCTTATTTTTAAAAATGTCGCAGAACAGCATAGATCAAGATAAAGTTAGCGATATATCTAAATTAAATTTTAATTACACGTCCCCAACACACTCTACGATACCTCAGTATTGAGCGTCTCTGAAGAGACCTTCACTTATCTGGAAGTCTAATGGCTAGATTACATTTATTTGATAGCAAGTGGGAATCTAAAGTGCAGGTGCAAACTGACAAGTAAAAACAACATGTAAATGTTCACGATAGTTTTATTTATTACTTTGCACTTGCACTTGTAACTTACAAAGTGAAAACTAACAAGAAGGGTCTTTGCTATAGAATTAGTATTAATCAGTCGGCGTTGGTTAAACCTGGTGACCCTATCTCTGAAGGCCATTTCACTCTACGCCAGTGATGTGCCGGATCGTTAAAAATGTATATCCGCGGATACGGATCCGAATACGGATATTTGGTGTCAAGATCCGCGGATACGGATACGGATACGGATCTTTATATATATATACTATATGTTTCAAGTTCCTCTGATTTTCACTGTGTTTGCTCATGTAATTTAATGTTTACACTTTATATGGTAGGTAGTACCTACTAGGTACGCAGTGTTAATTTACTTCATTAGAATATATTTTTGGTTTTCTCATCATCTCATAGTTATAAAAGTGATCTTATAACTTATATTTTTTTTATTATATTGATCTCATTATAATTATAAAAAAGATTTAAATTTTGGTTTTCTCATTTTCTTATAATATAAAAGTGATGTTATAACTTTCTATAATATTGATCTCATTATAAAGATAGTCGACCTTTGAGTTATTTACTATTGGTATAGTAACTTACCTACTACGATAAATGTTTGCAATATAAAGGTGCCATATATTTGATTTTAAGAAATAATAAATACTTAAATTGAATTTTATAGTTTTTTAAATCTACCTAATCACCTATATATAGCATTTCATCCTATCAATTGAAAATTAATAAGTTAAAAGATCCGTAAATTATCCGCGAGTAAAGTAACGGATACGGATACGGATATGGATCTTTATTTTCCGTCGGATATCCGCGGATACGGATACGGATACGGATATCCGGAACATCACTACTCTACGCCACTCGGAGATACGCCTGATGCCAGACTATCAATTGCACACGAAATATTACAGTTTTTTACATTTTATTTTGCAAGTTAAAAAGGTTCTTTGTATCTCTTCAACAATAGGTACAATAAAATATTTATATTTCACAGGAGAATGTTAGTAGCGTTTATGGATACAGAGCAAGCAAATAAAGTGTATATTGATACCATGGGCTTGGACGGCAGCAATAGGACGCATCTCGTGAGCAATGACTTGACAGGTAAATTTCAAATAGCATACTCAAAAATTGCAAAAATAAAATATTTTGGGTTGTTAGGGTAGTCTTTATCAGTATCTGTTATTAGAATTCTTAATAAATAAAAGCATAAATGCATTCGTTAAAAGATACGTATTTTGTAAAGAACGAAAGAAACAATTGTAAGCAAACCACATTTTTGAAGGACTGATGTTTTAAGAAACTATCATAAATACATATGAAAGCAATTTTTGAAAAACTTTGAAGTTAACATTACTTGTCTCTTGTACTTGTTGCTAGTTAATTCTTGATAAGACTCTAGAGGCAAGAATGTGATTTCTTACACAATAATTTGATTATTTAAAATCCTTAATAAACTCTATAATATTTAATCGCAACAAAACCCAACTGTTAATCCAAACGATTCTAGTGACTCAATCGCAGATTCCTTGCCATTTCACCCAACATATTGCATTGAATCAAGTATTAAAGTTTGGCATCCATTGTAAGGGTTGGTGCAAATCCAAAGGCAGATCCGCTAAGCGTCTCGCGGATATATGCGTTAGATGCGATGGAATATCCTTCGTGTTTGCAAGGTCGAATGTCGTATCATAAAATTTGCCAGTTCTAACGTTTAATGACAGTCGGGACGATCTTCCGTCAAATATGTATCGACCCTTAACGAGAAATATTCTGACACCTATACCCAAGTTTTTCATTCACCTTTACGAGAACTAAATCAATACTTTTGATATCTCCTAGTCTTGTCATCTTTATTTTTGATTTATGGACCCAAACTTTCTTATAAAATTAACACTAACAAACATCTTCAGGACACTATTTGTAAAATTATTATACACTTGCTTTCCGCTAGTGGTTTCGCCCGTGGAACCCTAAAGAAATTTTTAGTAGAATAAAAAGTAATATGGGCTATTTTTTATCCCACTGAAGAGTTCCTTAGGCTAACGATATAATTTAATAATTCATTTGGATAAGGTTTCATATTATAAAGCGGATACAATTACAATGACAAATTGAATAGTAAACAATGGTTACTGTAACGTTTTTATTCCTTATATAAATTTCCATTCCCATTTTTATGTTCTATGTTCTATTCTAGATAGGCAAGCATTTGACCACAGATCACCTGATGGTAAGCAATGCATTGGTCTAAGATGGAACGTGCTTGCCTAGAAGGAACTGATTCACTCTTGACTTGAAGAGTCCCAGATTGTATTTGCCCGGAAACAGCGAGTCCGGTAGCGAATTCCACAGCATCGCATTTCGCACTATGAATATTTTATCCCTTTAATTGCTGTTTTTCGGGATAAAGTATAGCCTATGTCGACCGCATATGATGTAGCTTTCCGTAGGTGAAAGAATTTTTAAAATCAGACCAGTAGTTTCGGATCCTATTCAACGGACACATACTAACAATAACATCTTTCCTCTTTGTAATATTACTATATATTACTTTGATCTTTGAAAATTAAGAAATAGCACAAAATGTACAGAAAAAGTATTTTTGCAACAGAAAGAGATAGAGTATCAAAAGTGGTAAAAACCTTGCATTGATGTAGTCCATAACTATTATATATGCCAGGATTTTTCTAGCTTTCTAACAAATACAATGTGATTTGTATTTAAACTTTTGGTGCTGTTGTAGGACCCAGAATGCGTTTAACTTATGATCGCAATGCAGACTTGGTGTACGTAGCAGATGATGGAAACGGAGTCATTGATTTCATACATCCAGAAGGAGATAAAGGTAAGTACCTATTCAAGCCAAAACAAAATATTAAGAGTGAATTCCTAATAGGGGTGTAAACAACTTTTTTATAGATATACATGAAATATATCTAAAAGTATTTAGTGAAATATTATTCATATAATAAGATAAAATCTAATAATACATTTAATTCTCAAAATTTCCCGCGAAATCTCCAACTTATGTCATGGCATCGCTATGACGACACGCCCCTCTTAAATTAATATCGTTATAAGTATGCATAAGGTTGAATTTTCTAAGTTCTGATATCAGTAAGAGGGATATGACGTCACGCTATGTTTGCGATCACGTGACAGCGAGTATCGAAATATATTTTTACATATTGAGTTTAAGCAATATTATAAACTAGCTTTCGCCAGCGGCTTCGCCCGCGTCGACGCCAGGGAAATGTTTAGAGGGATAAAAAGTATCCTATTATCTAAGTCAGCTAATACCCTATCTATATACCAAATTGCATCAAAATCCGTTCAGTAGTTTCGGCATGATTGACGGACAAACATCCAAACAAAGAAACTTTCACATTTATATAGGATATATAAAAAGCACAAAAGTATGATTATCGGTAATAGCATATTAAAGACTACCAGAAAAAAAATTATACGTACTTATGTACGGTTTACAACCGCACAATAGTATGTTAAAAGCAATTCAGCATTTTACTTCATTGTGTTACATTTTCATGTCATCATTTTTAGTATCCATTCTATCGTCACAGCGTATACTCATATCAAATCATTTTACACTCATTCATTCAAAAATCAATAATTAATTTCTATCAATTGAACTCTCCGTATCATTTCTTATCAAAACTAAAGATTGTGCGGCAGCAGCTCGTACAACTTATTTATTTAATAAGGTTTACTGTCTACACCCGTATTATATTCCTCTAAGGTTCTGGAAAAAATGTTATTCTGCTCATATTTATGGCCATTTTTATCCATCTCATACGAATTCTCAAATATGTTTCTCTTCATAAATAATGGAAAACTAATAGGTATGAGAGAATCGTTTTGTAGAACTTGTGGAACGCCCAGAAAAAACTATTGAAATTTTGTATTTAACTATGTCTTACTTTATAAAAAAAGGTAGGAGAGAAATAAACAAAATGTTTTTTTTTTCTATTATTTATTATAAATATCAAGGCATTAATATTTACAATAATGTACGTTCTTACTAATATTACGAATATCACAATCATTATAACGTATAGATTAAAAACAATATTCCAATCAATACAAACCATTCAAAACAACTTCAAAATAATATTTAGCAATTAATTACACT